CCAAACCAACCAACTTTAATTTTTTGGTAAATTCCAAACAACTTCTAACCACGTATTTATTTTACAGCTTTTTATTTTTTTTGGTATGATGGAGGCCGGAAATGAATATATAAATATGCTACTTCACATGTCCCTCAGAGACTATTGCCCTCAATATTCACATCGTTTAATTCTAATAAGAAATTATAAAGACTGGAACCGAAACTTTGAGTGAGGAATTCGAAAGTTTTACCATTGAATCAATCTCTTATTAGTATTTATTTTACAGCTCAATTCCAACTATTATTTTAAAGAAATTCGAGTCAGTGATCCTAATATATGAAATGGTTAAAAAATTACTACAAAAATTTAATTATACTAAAATTACTGGATGTTTATTTGGAAGAATTAAAATGAGCGATTGAATTCCATTCTATCATATTGAAAGAATTAAAATGAGCAATTGAATTCCATTCTATCATATTGAGTAGTCTATTGTTTGGTTGAAAAATTATAAATTAAACTAATAGTTCAACCAAATTGGTTGGTGAGTCCCCCATATGTGGAACTATCCTGTCATAGGAGAAGGATGGGATAAACAGTCTCTGGACAAACCCTCCTCTCCTCTGGTTTAACTAATAAAAATATAGGTAGCATTTGATAAAATTTTCTAAATATGATTTAAGAATAAAGTTGTATTTTAATTTTGTGAGTTTGAAAATTATGATTTGAGTGTGAAAAATTTGTTTGGTTATGAGTTTTGAAAAGAGTTTTGAATTAAGTTTTGGAGGGAGTCTTGAGTGCCCAAAAAAAAAAAAAAAAAATCAAACACTGTTCCGGTCAACCGGCCGAACATCCGGAAGGATGACTAGGTTAGCCAAAAATTTTCGCCTGGAAAGGAGTTTTCAAAAGTAGGTGTGAAATTACAATTTAAAAGCTCAAAACAAACACTATACTCAAATGAGTGGGTAAAAATGTGTATGAAACATATAACCAAACACAACCATAATTTTTCCCTTCAAATATTTAGATAGTCATTTACTGACTTTTAATCCCATGGCTAAACAAGCATGGGATACACATCATTTCTAACCAAATAATCCAATGACTGTGTATTTCGAGATTAACAATCTAATAGATTACAATCCATTCTTATCCAATTCATCCAAATAATCCAATGACTGTGTATTCCGAGATTAACAATCCAATAGATTACAATCCATTCTTATCCAATTCATCCAAACAAATATACCCTCATTGCTATCATCCAAAAAAACAAATAATTTTTTTTTAATTTTTTATTGTCTTAATAGATTTTGTAATATCAAGATCGGTGAACTTAGAGCTGCTTGGAAAAAATTGGTCGGTGACATGTTAATGCTGTGTTTGGTTGGAGGATTTGGAGAGGGATTTGGAAAGAGAAATGGAAAAGGTAGGTGAAATGTGAATAAATCATGCTTATATTTCACATAGTTTCACACACCTTTACCCTTTCTCTTTCCAAATCCCTTCCCAAATCCCCTAACCAAACACACCATAAAGGATGGTGACCAAAACAAAGCCCAACCGACACTATTTTCACCATGTAGAATACGAAGAGAAAAAATAAAAATAAAAATTTAGAAGGCCCAAATCTGGCGTGCAATGCGACCTGGTGAGCCTGACAAAGGCTAATACGCCCACGAGGAATGGTGTCCAAGACGATGCTTCATCAGGATATGCCAAATGCCCACAACACTTATCATTCTTGTGGCTCTCAAACAACCCCACATTTAATCCAATTCAACACAAAATCTGACGTACCAAAACCCATGTGCTTTATTTTCCGAGAAATTTAAAGACAAACTATATTGAACATGAATGTAGTCTTCTTATATGCAGGTTTTAAGAGTAACAACAAAAAAATTTGCATAATGAAAGTACACCGCTCTGCTGCCAGAGAGCATTATTTACACTCGGGCCTTCAAATACATTCAATCATATGAGTAACCATTCACTCATAGAATTCATACCTATGTTCTGCCATCTTCAAGAAATACTTGACTGGACTAGGTCGATAAACAATGGCCAAATAACCGAATTCTAGCAGCCGAGCATCAAGCTTCACAAGCCATGTCCAATAAAGCTTCAGGCAAAAACCAAAACCAACATTCCTGCAAATAGGCATAGGAGAATACATACATACTGATCATATTTTCACAAATACAGGTCTGATAGTCAATCTCCATAACATAAAAGCAGCTAATTTTCCCAGTATGTTCTTATCATACAAGTAAATGACAACATAGCATAAACTTTTGCAGAAGTTGCCAGAACTATAGCAGCCAAACATATATGTATATTAACTGATGAATTATTAAACAAACTACCATCAGACTCTAGAAAGTCATCAATGTAGAAAATTAAGTACAACGATCACAGACAATTCCATCCAAATCAAATACCAAAATTTCAGTTGAATATCTCCAATCCATTACTTGAATAAATAAATAAATAAAAATCCCAAGTTTGAGCAAGGCAGGGGCAGGAAAGAGTTGAGATGCCACCACTGAATTCAGAGAAAGCAAATAATTCTTTACCCAAACTGACGTGTAGTAGGAATTTTTGTTTGCAATCAGACACCGAACAAATTGGCAAAGGTGAACATGCCTAATTATCACACAATGCACTCGCTGCAATTTCTCTATTCTTAACCATTCCAAAAAAAAAAAAAAAAAAAACCTGGACTTAAGCATTTGAAAGAAGCAGTATCAAAGCCACAGGTTTATAAGAACCTTAAGTATGTTTCTACAAGCCTAAAAACTAGTCAAACAGACTTCATCCACTCGTGTCATGTCTATGAACATTCCGTAGGGCACTAACAAGCCTAAAAACTAGTCAAACAGACTTCATCCACTCGTGTCATGTCTATGAACATTCCGTAGGACCCAGTGCCGTGCATTATACTGCGAGTCTCTTGCAACCTTGCCCGCACAGAAGTCCACTTTGATCATCTCCAACTGAGTCAGTTTGCAGACCAAACAAAACCATGTGCTCTGTTGATCTGTGTAACCAGATTGTCGGATAAGCCAAAAAATTTGAAGCAGAATCAGTCATTATAGACAACATAACATTGACCAGTAAGCTATATGCTTCAAAGCAGAATGAGTTATTATCAAAGACACCACCACATGGATCCATTACTCCAGGTTTATTTTCTAGTGTCTGGTTGGCACATAAGCAAAATTAGTAACCACAAAACTAACTCTCTACGAAGACAAGTAGGGCCACTAAACCATAGGCAGAAACTGGATAACAATTGAGAGAAAAGAGTTACATGAGCGAAGCCATGTGATTATTAATGAGGTAGGTCCCTGATCACACCCTAAATATAATTACCGAAGTACAGCATATGAATAAGCACGAACTGGACTAGCTCTCCAACTTCAACAATACTGCAATTACTAGCAGTTTGACAGCCATTTCAATTTAAATAAACAAATAACAAGAGGGCTGATAGATAAAAGTGATGCTTTTGATTGGTTTTCCATTCATTTTTATTAGTTTCTCAAGCCAAGAAGAATCTGAGACGACATCCTTTTCTTAAAAGAAATCAACTATCTCTAGTAGTAATCAAAGCAGATGTTCCAAAACGCTAGTTCGGAAAACTAGAAAGAGCAGTTAGTCAATCCAATATCTCTCTTGAAACATCCCTTCATTCTATGATATGCAGAGCCTAGCAGAGGGAGTGTTTGGATTTGAATATCCTATGCATGCAATTACTATTCCATGCAAAATAGCACTTTTGTTGAGCTCAATTCTTGTTTGCATACCTCCTAAGACAGGAGACAACAGCAAAAAAAGGACTGAGCAAAGATGATCAGCAAGGCTAAATTTTTCTCTCCATACCTATGAATGACTGCTTACCTGTTAAACTTGTCGTCTCCAATTTTGACTCAGACATCATTGTCCACATATGTCTGTTCGTAATTCTTCTTCTTCTTTCCTCTTGAAAATCCTTTCAACAAAATATGACATAAAACAAATATGAAATCTAAAAGTTCTTATCAATAAAGTTTGAAAACAGAGTAGTGCCATATATACAATGATGCTCCTCCAAATATCTCTTTATTGCATAATTCCTCATTATCTAAAATACAAAGTATGAAACTGAAAAAGTCTGCTTCAAAATTTTCAGCAAAGTTTGAGATTTTGATATAATGTTTTGAATAGATAGCGAAAGATCTAGTGGATGTATCCTCCTTCGATGCATATCCATCAAATCTACAAGGATGTGTGACTCCATTTAGAAGAGTGTTAGTTGAGCAATCAACAAGACATACAGACGGATTTTCTAGGTTTCTTTCATTCTAAACAGGCATATGACCTAGAGGCCCTGAACTTTCATGTTTTATTTTAAGCAGGCATTTAAGTTCATGCGAACATTAATGTCTCTGTTGTAAGCTAGACCCTTCATCGCTCCTTCAACATCAAAATATTGCTAAAAAATCAAGTTCCAGATGTTATGACCTCAATTTTATGTGAAGGAGTTCAGGAAAGTCACTTCATTTATTTTCCTTTTCCTTTTCTTCTTTTTTCCCGTCGCAAGGTTGAGAAAATTTTATCTGCCTCTATCTACTTGGTTGATTTCCGAAAACCAAAGTTTGTTGACTAGAACATGCAACTTACCAAACATTATATAGTGCTAATACCTAAATCCCAAATTCACAGCAAATTTATACCAACAAATTATAAAGATTGGAAAAAACTAACAATCAAACAATTTCATACAACACATCAGATACTGTGTCATTTAACCGTTCACAGTAAGTTCCCTCGACAAAGCTTCTCAAAGTTATGAGAAAACAAGTTATACAGTGGAAACTGTAATTTGTAGAACTATTTAAGATAATGTTTTATGAGCTATAACTCAGATCTACTATATTGGCATGTTCAGAACATATCACAATGAATTTTTCAAATTTGATTCAGAGATCTATACCTTATAAAGAAATATCATTCCAAGCCTAACAATCAGGAGATTAACCAATAAACAATCAAATTATATCATGCATTACAGGAGCAAAAGCTGACATTCAATTTGAAAGAAAAAGATGAAAGACCAATTTGAAGGGAAGATCAATTAGATATGTGATTAATCACTACAACAACTCGATACATGTGTCTAACATATAAATTCTCTCTCTCAAACAATGTAACAAATAAATAAGTGCACTGAAAACAACTTAGTTGAGCAGTGTGTTCCAACCACCAGGAGTTAAAAGAAAAGCATATAACTAAAATTGCTCGTGCCAAGTGTCAATCTATTAGGTGACGGTGGAATTTCGAAATGATGCCCCATCAGACCTCACTTTCACTTCCCCCTTCGACTCCTCCTACAAATTACTCAATGTAACTGCATTAAAATTATGTCTGTGTGGATAAAACAGCAGGTTTCTGTGGAGTCTCTTCAGTTTGCAGGCTCGCATAATATTTGACCAGGACTTCCCATCCCCCAGGGCACATGAAACCATCAGGAGGGTTCTCACCATTTCTTGCATAAGTCCGCATCTGCAGCAGTGTAATAAATCAGCCTGATATGTATGGAGACTTCAAAGCAAAACATTCAACCCAAAAAAAAAAAAAGACTTCAAAGCAAAAGAGACATAATTTCTTTAACATTCAACAGTGGAAAATTAAAAGGTTTGCCCTTAAACATCAAGTCCAAGCCTATGCAAGAATTGTATAATTAGACATTAAAAAAATATTTTCCAAAAAAAATGTAAACAATTTGTCATTTACCAAAAAGAAGACAATAGAGAGTAAAATTTTTACCTTCTAAACATGCATATCCCGTGTATAAATAAATAAATCTGTCTTCCCCAGTGCACAAGGCTACTGCTTATAGTAAAGTCAAAGAATTGGTAGGTATGCAACCTTACCCACATTATTTGTTGCAAAAAGCTCCCGCTTACAGTGGGGTTTGGGAGAGTCGGTAGGTAGGCAACCTTACCCCCCTTTTTTTTTTTTTTTTCTTTTTTCGGTGGAGAAGCTAATTCACATGACTCAAACCCATGCCACAAGGCTGGGTGGACAACACTAGCCATCATGCCAAGTCACGACCTCTTATCCCAGCTAGTAATAATGCTAGTCAATACTCGATCTCAAGAAAATAGAGCAACTCTTGAATACTCCATGCATCAAGGATAGCATACACCTTCGATCAAAACACACACAAGTTGGAAGGGAATATTTTTTTTCCCTTTCCACAATAGGCATGACTCTCTCGTGAAGCAGATTTTTAAACCAATTTTGTCATATTATTTCCACTGAATGCTTAAGAGTTAAGATCACGGGATTGGACCTAATTCATTTAGCCTATTCTATCCAAGTTATGACAAGTTGAATTGTCATGCAACTTTGAGCAAAACATCATACCCTCACAGCATTCAGATTGGAGATAGCTCCTGGCAAAAGAAAACCTAGCCCCCCTGACACAAACACAAAATATCCATACTTGGATGTAGATAATATTTTAGAACTCTAAAAGATTAATGTTCTATAACGAATTCTTCTAGAAGAGTTTATGTTAAGATATATAGAGTCAGAGATACACCACTAACAACCAGAAAATCAGGACTCAATTCCTACCTTGGTACCAGAGATGAAGAGAAAATCTTTAGCACGTGAAGGCTCAAAAAATGCCATTCTCTTTTCCACTGTGTCATATGCTGCTACCTGGAGAAGATGAAGATGGCACATTAAATAGAAGCGTTCAGATAAAACACCAAAAAAGATAATTTAGAAAGAGATGATGGACACCATCAAGATAACTTAATAGACTTATCAATTAGAGTTCAATTTAGCAACAAAATGTTGAAAACAGAAGAATAATAAATTATAGAGAGAGGAGGTTAAATTTTAAATTTAAAAATTAAAAAGGAAGAATAAAAAGTGTTCATAGCCAATGCAAAAAGTATGTTACGGCACCTACCTTGAATGGCAAAATGTTTAGCTTTTCCAAGCCGGGAGCCATGCTTAGCACCTTCTTCCCATGGTCAGGATCATATAAATCCCTCTTCTCTATAGGGTGATCCATACCAGCAGGATCACGACCTACAATGTAGAAATTTGCACCTGCATTGATTCGTGCCTTGGCATGCCATTGTACTTCTGTAGGACCAGCATAATGCATGGGTGATGGGAATATCGCCACGACAGTAGTCTCAGGATCAAGAATTCCATCTTCTAGAACCTGAGCATTAACAAAATCCTTGTAAGCTCTAAATTTTTGACATGTCATGGAAATGAAATTTTTTAATCCCAACAAAATAGAATTGAAAAACACAAGTTCAGAGTTCAAATGGCAGACATGGGCAAAGTGATAATAAAAGTGAATTTTTTTTGTTATAATTAAAAGTCATTCCAAAATGATACAAAGTGTTTAGGACAGGAAATTCTGCTGAAATGCAGTGGCTTTGGAGAAAGCAAGTAAAGCCATTATGCCGGCTATGTAGAACAAGAAGTTTATTTTCCCTATGATGTCAAATTATCATGTCTTATGATAGCATATCATCGTCCCAGATAAAACAGAATAGTGCTAAATATGTGTAAAAAAAAGCAACATTAACCTTGCTATGTTGCTCCATACGAACATCCAATGGGACGTCATCAGCTTTTGTAAAACCTCCCAAAGGATGAAGCAATAGAATTGGATTCTTGTAACCCATTTCCAAAAGTCTCCTGCGTGTATCGTTCATTAACAAAGCATGCCCATTATGCACAGGATTCCTTAACTGAAAAGCAAAAACTGCATCAGCCTGACGCTTGTCAAATTCTTTCCGAAGTTGTTGGGGAGAGATCCTGTAGTTATCAAGACCATCATTATATTTGATATGCTTTAACACTTCCAAATCGCCACCAATGAGCCAATTTCCAGCTGGAGTAATTACTTCCTCAACGTAAGGTAACCCTGGAGCAGTTGTTCCCCAAGTTCTTGCTATTCTTTCTTCTTTGTTGTGCTTATATATTTCAATGCTGCAGAACAGCTGCAGAATCAAAATATGTACTAAAGCTAGAATGAAAGCATAAATAACACAACGAAAAGTAACTTAGGCATGTAATTTACTTCAAGTGTATCTACCAGAAAATTGCAATAAGAAGTTTTTAGAATATAAAAGAAACGGTGAAGTCCTTCCCAATGAAAACCCAACTAACATGAGAACGACAAAAGGGCCATTGTGTGCTTGAGGGTGAGGAAGGAAAAAATGTGGGTTCCTCAAAACACCTAGTAGCATAATAATGTCATAATTTTGACAAGACTGGGCATACCCTGCTCAGAGTAAGCATAATTAAGGCAGTTTCAATCTCCACTCAGACAGAATTTGAAGAGTTAATCAGCCATTCATAGTTCAGAGGAAGAAAAAAAACACTTCTAGCAAATTTTAAAAAATTATAATCAAGAAATCCAGAACAAGAATGTGAGCTTTGAACAAACAACTTTATTTTCAAGTAAAAAAGAGTGTAAGGAAGCAACCCCCGAGCCTGACTATACCATTCTGTTAGACTGACAATATGTTAGAGCATCTCCACCCGAAACTCTATATCTTGAATTGGCAACCATAATGAACAGAATTGACATGAAATTTAAATCTGAGGTGAAATTCGCATAGACTTTATCTCTGCCAAATTTGGCATGGCAAGGAGAGATGTCAAATTTGATTCTTTTTCAATATTTTAATGCTCCATTTAAAATATTCAGCTTAAACTTGTTATTTTGTCCTCTTTTTAAAAAAGTAAAAAACTAGTTAAAATAAAAATTAATAATAATAAACTAATGTATTTGGTATATTCGTTGTGTAATTCCTCAACCAACCTTACCAAAAAAAAAAAAAAAAAACTAATTTTTAAATATTTGGGTGTAGATGCTCTTATGTGATCCAATATCTCCCTCTTCCACATTCATCTGGACAATCTACAGATTACTAACAAAACTGTTTTCATTTCGAAAGGCGAACTGAGTATTAAAAAATCACTGAAACAATTTAATTGCATCGAAAGACTAACCTCCGAAGAACACCAACCAAATCACCATCAGGCGCAACCAATGCAACATGAATCGAAGCCCCAATTCTTTCTTTAGCCTGGTCATCAATGGCTAAAACAATCGGCAACGACATGTTCACAATAGACCCATCTTTCATTCTCAAACAATTGAAATGCAAGCTCTGCAAATACTCATCCTCTCTCATGAACCCTTTGAGCGGACTCGCCCAACCCTCACTGAGCACGTGAACCCATTCGAGATCAATCTTTGTTATCTTCAGCTTCGGCATTGATTCAGCCTCTAGAGTCATCAAATCCCTTTGGCTCTCCGACACCACGAGATCAACCAACGACCCACCATCTGGGTCGATCAGAGAGCTCTTGACAGCTAAAGGGTTTTTTGCGGAACAATCTACACAACTCATTCTTCGAAGAAAAAGGGATTGGGTTAATGGGTTAGAATGGTAAATGGGTTTTGCTACAACTCTGCAATTGTGGTGGTTTCTTTTGTAGATTGTTGTTGTGTTGAGGTAGAGATTGAGATGGGTAGTGGTGATTTGTAGTCTAATTGTGAGAGACATGGTGATGATTATGAGAGGTGGGTTGGGTTTTGAGATTGAGAGTTGAGAGTGAGGATGGGTTGTTGGTGTTGTTGTTGTTGTTGTTGCTGTTTGTGGAGGAAGAGAGAGAGATCCGCCAAAATTGGTGGACTGAAACACCACCTCTAAATTTGGTGGACATCTTTTTGCCGTGAGAGAGAGAGAAATAGAGAAAGCGATGCCGTGAACTCAACAGTGACCACCACCACGAGTTCCTTCTTCTCGCTTTTAAAGCTAGCTCATGGAGATAAATGTTTTTCTCATTATTCATTTTATGGGGTGTTTGGCAAAGGCTGTTTTTAACTTTTTGGATTAAAATGGGTCAAAATAATTAATTAAATAAAATATCATATTAAATTTATAATTTTTTTTTTTTTTACAAATATTATATCTAATTATAAAAAAATTTAATTATCTTTCTAAACATAAAAATTTTAATTTACTAAAATAATTAAAATTTAAAATAACATATTTTCAAAGACTCGCCTTGTTTGGTTTGTGTTTCTCAAAAATTTTTAGGAAAAATTCTCTACAAATAAGTTTTCAAAAGTAATCAAACCAAACAAATTTTCTCAAAACTTGTTTGGTTTACAAGTTTTCCAAACAAATCTCTCTCTCATACACATCAAATCAATCACTTTTGTCAAAACTCTCTCTCAAAATAATTTTTCAAAACATCTTTTGAAAAAAATCAAACCAAACAACTTTTCATACTTTTTATCTCTAAAACTCATCTCTCAAACTCAAACCAAATATACCCATTATTTCTCGTCCTTGTTATCTATTTATTATTAGAGTTGTGCTTCGGACCGCGAGTGGGAGTCGCACCCTCCCTGACGTGACAACATAAAATTGGCGGAAAACATTAAATTAAAAAAAAATTTAGATCAATCATAAGCGACCCCGGTACCGCCACTGGGTCCGAAGCTTCCTTATTATCGTTGGCTATTGGTTTTACTAGTACCCACCCTTTTTTTTTTTTTTTCTGTGTAATTGTCAAAGAAAAAACGTGTAACTGAAGCGTCAACTGAACTGCTTCCCAATCTCACTCATTAGGTTATCATTAGATCACGCCCCTTAAAGTCTTATTACAGAGTAATTTTTTTATATAGGGATAGAGTATGTGTCTATTATTGTCATTAATTTTAACACTAAGGCCTCGTTTGAGGAGTGACTATTTTAGTTAAAAAATTAAAAAGTTATTAAAAGTTATCACATCATCTCATTATTTTTCTGTACATCTTTTCGTAAAAAATCAAAAAATTATTAAAATAACCTGTTCCCAAACGAGGCGTTTGGGGAGTAGCTATTTTAGCTAAAAAGTCAAAAAATTACTAAAAGTTGTCACATCACCTCTCTATTTTTCTATATATTTTTTCGTAAAAAGTCAAAAAGTTATTAAAATACCTTATTTCCAAACGAGACCTAAGATGTATTATATTTATATTGTGTATTTAAAAAATAATAAGAGATATATATATTTATAATTGGTAAAAAATAATATAACGTAATATTAATACCTTATTGATATTCAAAAATTCTCTGTTACTACCCAACTGATTGCATCATCATTTTTATTAGTATCCCTAACATAAAATCCATTATAAAGGACATACAAATTTATTAATTTTAAAAAATTTAAAAAGTTAAAAATTTTAATTAAATAATATTCATAATCATTTTTTCATTGTCTGTCATAATTATGTATTTTAATTATAAATTATGATGTTATATAAATTTATAAAATAAAAAAATAGAATTTAATGTCATGTGATCTTTCAGTTTCATAGAATTCATAACACAAGTTAAATTTTTTTTTTTTTTAATCTCAGCCAAAACAAATATAATTATCATGTAATAGATTTTTGTTTAATTTTTTAGAATTCAAAATTAAAAAATTAATTTAGTGCTTTTCAAAAAAAAAATTGGGGTCTGTACCAGATGGCCTAAATGAGAAGAGTGGCCTCACTGGGCCCACTGTTCAATTTCTGGACTAGAAAAGCTACCCAAAATGCGATGGATTCTATTTAAACTCAAAATATGTTTAAATTCATATATTTTAGTTTTTATTTTATTCTAATATAAATTATTAATAAAGACAATATATATTAAATCTTAAAATATATATATTTTTTCTTATGGTATCTTCTCTCCCAATAGATCGAAGTTTTTTTTTTTTTTGGTGAATAGATCAAAGTTATTTCTTTTTCTTCTTCTTCTTCCTCCTTCTCTCTCCAAAACTCCAATCTATCCTACCAAAACTCACCATTATCGTAACATTGCTTGGTTCCATTTTTCTAAAAACACTTTTCAAAAAAATTTATTTTTTTATTTTCTCCTTTTTTTTTTACTGAATTTTTTTAATATTTTAAGCAATTTTTTTTAGGGAGATTTACCAATAAATCTTAATTGTTTAACTTATGATCCAATTAGTCCCATATATTTTTTAATGATCCATTTAGTCCTTTCCGTTGAGAAAGGACGCAATTGCCATCAATATAGATGTTGGTGTACGCATTACAGCTGGATGTGTGTGTGTTTGGTTAAGCGCGTGTGTCTTATGTGGTTAGTGGTATGGTAAGAGTGTGTTACACCTTCATAATTTGAGATTGGTGGTGGTCACGTGACACATTTGTGCGTGCAACAAGGAAGTGCACTAAGGCATTTTATGCTATAGTGTTTATGTGGGTTGTGTGACACATGTTGCCATGGATACAGTCACAGATAGGACGCAGTAAACACGCAGACACACAAACCACACACCATGAAAATGCACACACTAGTAAATACACACACACACAAACAACCCAGCAAAAAAATGCACATACCAAGAAAATGCACATACAAGGAAAACACATCCGCACAACCACACCCATCCTAAAAACACAACACACAAACCCCCTGAAACACACAACCCATAGTAGTCACACAAACCACACACCAAACTGAGTCAACGTTGCAAAGAACGAAACATCAATGGAAGCTTCAACATCGGTATGCCACCAATAAACGAAAAAATCAACGTTGCAGAAAAACATCGCAAAACACCGCACCAACACAACCGTCACAGCAAAACACCGCGAAACATCAATTTTTCTAGGCAACCAAACAAAAAAAAACCAATTTTCTTCAATCTTCCTGAATTTTCTAAACCTCAAGTAAGCAAACCCACAAAAGTTACTCAATTCTCAGACAGTGGAATTGGATTTACCTCTTTGGTTTCCTGAATTTCTCTATCTAGGGCCATTGAACAACAGACTGAGTCTCAAATTAGAGGAATTGGGTCGAGTTAGAATTAGGGTTTTCAAAGAAGAAGAAGAAGAGGAAGGACAACGAGAGTGGCAAATGCAAAGAGAGGAGAGAGAGAGAGAGGGAAGAGATTGCATCTACTGATTTCTATATAAGATGCCGTTGAAAATTGGTGTTGGGGTTATTATTGTAGGCTTGTCCTAAGTGTAATTCCCCAGCATGTTTGTGAGAATAAGAATTGCAATGGAATAGCCATTAATGGATAGAGAGAGAATTTGAGAGAGAGAGAGAGAGAATTGTTATGTGGAGTGGTTTGTTTGTCTGTTGCACGTATGAGTTAAAAATCAAACACATCCAAATCAACAAAATGAAGGGTATAATCATCTACGCCACAATGCCATACATGGAAAATAGGATCAAAAGGAATAAATCTCTCCACGTGTAGGACTTATCGGATCAAAAGTTTAAAGTTGGGATTGATTGGTATAACTGTTTGTGAGATGGGATTTATTGGTAAATAATCCTTTTTTTTTACTTTTTAGACATACCTAACATAAATATACCTAAAAAGTAAAAAAAAATGGAAAAAAAAACCTTTTGAAAATTCATTAAATACCAAAAATACAAAAAAAAAAAATACGAGAATTCAATATATTTTTTTATATTTTTATGTATTTATTAATTTTTTAAAATATTTTTTCACAATTTTTTTACTTTTTAAATACATCTAAGTAAGATGCATCTAAAAAAATTTTAAAAAAATGTTTAAAATTTAAAAAATATTCACTAAAAATAAAAAAATACGAAAACCAAAAAATTAAGTTTTCAAAAAATTTAATTCAAAAAACTTAAATCAAGCACACTGATTGTTTTTTATTATTTTGAAATCCTAAATCCTAGAAAAAAGTTTGAACAAAATCAAATAATGGATAAAAGTAATAATCAAAATAGTTTTTTGAAACAACCCTCAAAAAGGAGGTAAATATTTATATAAAGGGGTTTCACAATTTTTGTAGAGCACCATCAATTATTTTCTATGTCATTTTTTTGACAAAAATTAAAGGGTCCAGTAGTTAAATTACCAATAACATATTATTAGAGTTGTTCTTATTTTATCATTTAAATAATACATTATTTGAGAACCACTATTTCTTGTTAGTACCTGATACTTATGTACTTATAAGTTTGGTTTGTACTTTTTCACGAGCATTCTTGTGAATAATTTATAATATAATTTTTTTTTTTTGTATTGAAAAGTTTTATATTGCTTATGTAAAAGTTAGGTTTTTTCTATATTTACAATGCTTACATGCTTATAAATTTGGTTGGTGTATTTTTTTTTTTTTTTTGGTATTTGAGAATTATTTTCTGTATTGAAATGTTTTTAAAATCATTTACTCTCTGTTTGGTAGAGTTTTTGAAGTTTAATTCTACCTTTTAGTTCAAGTGTGTTGTTTGGTTACAACTTTAGTAAATTAATTCCACACCTACTTTTTAAAACACTTTTCAAAACACCCACTTTTCAATATCATATGTCACATCACATCACTCAATTCAAACTCTTTTTAAAACTCATAACCAAACGAATTTTTCACACTCAAATCATAATTCTAAAACTCACATACTCAAAATACAACTCTATTCTCAAATCATAATTCTAAAACCCTACCAAACCTAATCTTAGTTTTTTTAGTTTGTTTATTATTTATTATTTAGGTTTACCTTGAAGGTAATTTAGGAAAAATAATAGGATGTAATGAGAACAAACTGAAATTTTAAATAATTAAACAGGTATACTTAGAAATTGGAAGTAATTAATGATTTTTTTTAGTGTAAATAGAATCCCCAACAGTGCAATGCACTTGTGGCCCAAACTGCAACAAAATATGTGGTAGATCAATGTGTGTGTGTGTTTTTTTTTTCTGCTTATCAAAAGTAAAGAAGATTTGAAATATCTCGGAGATCAATTGGATCTTGTGAATCCATTTCAAGTATGGCTAGATACAAGTCCCGGTTTGAGTTTGAATAAAAAAAAACAAGCAACAATATATAGGATTATATATAATTGAGAAATGATTGAGACCTCCACTCCTCACAAGACCCTCATAAATTTGAATCGCTCATGATGTGAACCACACACATACATGAAAGGTCAGGATCACTTTGGGATATGGAGGTCATCCAAAGGGATTCCAAACATTTTCCTATATAGGTAAGGTTTAATTAAACAGATACACCTACAAAGCACAGTGGGTACTACAATGGAACAATTTGCTGTGTAAAACAAGCTATTAAAAACACAAATTCCAAAAGAGAATATGGAGCGGACCGTTCATTCAACTACACATATATTTAATACAATGGATCATGTACTCACTCACTGAGGCCAGCCCTGGCTTTAGGTGAAAGACTTGGCCACAGAAGAGGAGGTGACCAAACCAGAAAGAAGGCCAACAATGAGAGCAGTGTTATATGTGCTTGGTTCCCCTTGCATTGAATTGTTCCTCGAATCCACATACGTCTCGTTTAGAGCTGGTCCCCCAACTACCGCGCCAACTGCAACATTTGGGTTGGGCTCAGTTGACTCGAGCCACTCCCATCCATCACTGCACCCTGTGGTTGCATCTTCCGGTATTGAGGCTCCCCTGTGGTGTACATATTCTGGGTATTTTTCCCCATACCCCACAAGATAACTCATCTCCATTGGATTATTGCCCAACACATAATCGGCCTAGAAAACAGAATAATATAAGTTATAACGGTCGTTAATGCATATTTTATTTTTTATTTTTATATATTTGTGCTTCTAAATGAACACATAAAGCAATACCTGTGAAATGGCAAATTTCCGAAGATCCGATGGTCCGAATGAATCTCCATCGCAGGATAGCTTAGCAGTACGAGATGTAAGCATGTAATCACTGTAAAGCACGGCTAAAAATGAAGAAGCCACAGGATGCAGCAAAGAATTCCATTCACTCACCCATATCAGACCACCTGCATTTAACAGATTATGATGGTGAGCCATGTAGGTTACAGTTTGACTCATTAAGTTAATGCTGACTAGAAAATTGAACTAACATGTTTGATAATGTGAAATTTCACACAATCTCAACGTCCATACTCTCAATGTTTGAAATTTCTCTCTAAAGTGTGTGCACGAACGTGCAAACAGAGTTTTGCGACAATGCATTTGATTGGAAACCAACCAGGAAAAAATGGGGTGAGGGGAGAGAGCAAGGAGGAATGAAGAAAATTGAGCGTGATTAATGGAATTGAGTAGCGTTGGGAAAAGAGCTTACTCTCGGTTCTGCTGGATGTGGCTGTCGGAGACTTTGGCAGGAGACCACACATGACAGCCTCGGCACTTTTCCTGTAATTCTGGAGGTTTTCTGAGTTGGCGATTTCTTTTGAACCAAAAAAACTCACCCGTGACAACAATACCTGCATCAAAGTTGCATAATTGTTTACCCGGTCCAAGAGAAGTAATGGTATGCCAATTCAATATTGCAAAACTGGATATTGGATAAATTTACTTGGGATACAAAATGTTAAATTCATTCTACATTGGTCAAATTCGACAAATAAACTTTTCTTGGACAAACTTGATTCTTGATACATCATATAAATAAGAATTCAAGAAATATACCTGAGTCCCTGCAAGTTTGTTATCCCAACTAAACCAGGTTGGAGTACCCCACTTAGCAAAAGCTTTTCCATTTTTTCCGGTAACATAATCAAAATAGGATTGATCCCCGGTAGCATGATAGAGCCAGCTTGCCGCCCACAAAAGCTCATCTCCATAACCTGTTGAATTGTAAAACTTTTGGACTTCGGGAATGCTGTGACTGTAAGAACCTCTATGTTTGTCAGCAAAAGTGAATAGTTGATGTGCATGCTCAAGAAGCGAGCTTGAATACTTGGCATCGATTGACTTAAATACTAGGGATGCCGATGCCATTGCTGCTGCAGTTTCAGCAGCAACTTCTGTTCCAGGGGAAGAAGTGTTCACCTGTGTGAGAGGCCTTTTCGCGGTCATGGTCTCAGGCCTATCCCAACATTTATGGTCTGCTGCAGGATCACCCACCTACTCCATATTTAAAAAGTGATTTAAAAAAAAAACAAATTTAGAGGGCTTACTCTGACCATCAAAGTGGATCAATGTTTGACCACTTAATTACTTTTGCCAACTTTATCAAACAGGCAACACCAAGTACAACCCATTTGCAGTAAACATATTTAGATGTTACAGTTATACTGTTTGAAACAAAGAAACCAAAAAACATATCTAGACATTTTCAAAGAATTCTTCAAGTAGTTCTAAATAAAAGCATAACCAAACTACCACATATCCTCTTAGTATTGCACTAAATCCGAGACATGCAAATCCAAAAATAAACAAATAAATGTGACCTTGACTACTTCTGATCATGCCCAAAATACCCTTAAATCACATTCAATTACCATTAGGTATTTTAAAAATTATGCAAACACTTCAGATGGAAAGGAAAAAGGACTAAAGATGGCCATCAAGAAGTGCAGTTTATAGGAATCAAAGATTAAAGAGACCTGAACATAGAGCACATCCTTTGAAGGATGAGCATTGATAAGGTAGTCCGTTATCCATTTAAGCGAGTCTTGAGCAGGTTTCAACTGATTAACTGTCTGCATCTGATCCCCGTATTCAAGGATGGCCCATGACAACACCGTGGCAGTGAAAGCCATTGGAAATCCAAACTTCAAATGATCCCCAGCATCGTACATTCCTTTTGAAAGATCCAACTTTGCTTGACTACCATCCTTAAGAGCCGAATCTCCTCTCCAAGATATCTTGTTGTTTACCAACTTACCAGCTGCAAGACCAAAATAGCATTTGCACCCGCAATCAAATACAATCAAAAGAAGAAGAAGAAGAAGAAGAAGAAGAAGAAGAAGAAGAAGAAGAATGCACCATAATAATATCCCAACCAAACACGCCATATTAATATCCAATTTGAACTAACATGGCCACCATCTCTCTCATTTCATGTAAAAAGAAACTACTATCATCTTCTCATTTCCTTAAAAGAGTAAGCAGCATGAAAGGTCAGCTAGTATAGCCTCTGAGTACAAATATATGAATATGTCTACAAACACATAAACCGATCAAATAAGAATTACAAAAATAAAACGTCATTCATGTGTATTCTGTGCCCAGTTATGTGATTGGTTTTTGTATTCGTAACAAGAGATGCAAATATATACAAAGAAAAGCATTCAACGACACGCAATTAGAGCAAAAACCATGTTTCTCTATCATGTTCCATGATGATCATATGCACATCCTTAGTTCTACTAAGTAGTAGCCCATCACAAATTACTAGCCAAACATTGAAAGAGAATTGGAAGCTAAAAAATGAGATATGACTAGTATTCTGGTTAAAAACTTCAAAATTAAAAGGGGGTGAGAAAATTACATCTCTGGACATCGAAGAACTGCATTGCGACTTTGAGAGCGACGCCGTATTTCTTCTGAACAGTGCCAGGAGAGCCAGGAACAGGGCTTAACACAGGTTCAGAGAGCCCTATCTTATTTGTTAGAGTAATTACGAGAACGATGGCAACGAGAGCCACGACTACCAACACAATGCACCACCCACAACATCTTTTCGACCTCGAACGCTGCCCCATTCAATTCAACCCCCAAAACAAATTACTACTCGGAAAATAACCCGAAATTAAGCAGAGATTCGGGATTTTACGCAAAACCCAGCACAATAACAGAGAAAATGGCTTGCATTGAGCAATCTGAGGACAAAATGGTGCAGATTTTCAGAGAAAATTCGAGGGTTTTTATACAAATAACCTTTCTTTCTTTTTCTCTGTTTTCTCTTTTTTTTTTCTTTTTGTTTGATTGATTGAAACTAAATTTTGGGGAACTTAGGGAGAAGGAAGAGTGGTGAAAGGCAGAAAGAAACGAAAAATATGGAATGAGGAAGGAGATAGATGATCTGGGGCCAATGTGGATTGGCCCTGATCGAATTCGAAGCAGAGGCTTGGTTTGGTTCTCTGTAAATTTTTGTTGAGAGAGAGAGAGAGAGGGAAACAGAGCAACCACCGACAAGGGGGAACCCGCCATATCAGTTTGGGTGGAATGACAATAATGCCCTTATGATTTGATTTTTTTCCTTCTTTTTCGTAATTAATGAGGACCAATGAGAGGAGACTCTTGCGCGGAGACCCCATTTTTTTTGGTGATAGGAAAGAAAATAATCTAAAAAAAAGGAGTATTTTTTAAAATTTTTTTTTTTCTTTTTGTTTGATTGATTGAAACTAAATTTTGGGGAACTTAGGGAGAAGGAAGAGTGGTGCAAGGTAGAAAGAAACGAAAAATATGGAATGAGGAAGGAGATAGATGATCTGGGGCCAATGCGGATTGGCCCTGATCGAATTCGAAGCAGAGGCTTGGTTTGGTTCTCTGTAAATTTTTGTTGAGAGAGAGAGAGAGAGGGAAACAGAGCAACCACCGACAAGGGGGAACCCGCCATATCAGTTTGGGTGGAATGACAATAATGCCCTTATGATTTGATTTTTTTCCTTCTTTTTCGTAATTAATGAGGACCAATGAGAGGAGACTCTTGCGCGGAGACCCCATTTTTTTTGGTGATAGGAAAGAAAATAATCTAAAAAAAAGGAGTATTTTTTAAAAAAAATTATTTATTTTTCCTTTTTATTAGTTTTTATAAAATAAAGTTTCAAGATGAAATTAAAGAGTTAGTTTAGTCCATTGGAATATTAACTTACCTTTTGTTTAATTGTAGTCGAGATAAGTTATATGTAAAGACCCAATATATTATGATACTATTTGATATACCTGTTAAAACAGATTATAAATTATAACTTAACAGATTATAGATTATTACTTTAATCAGAAACTGTTAATCTGTTTGGTATAGCTGTTGGATTATAGATTTAAGTTGCTGAGTAGTGTTTGTTAAATAAGCTGTGAAGTAGCTTTTTCAATTAATTTTTATTTTTATTATTCACTATTTGTCTACATTTTTCATAAAAAATAATAATAATATTTAATAGTCCATTTGGGTCTTTTTTTATTTTTAAAAAAATAAAAAATAAAAAAAATCTAAGAGTATAACCGTGAATTAACATGTCCACAACAGAAGCTGATAATCAGAAGCAAGGGGTGAGCAGCTTCTCAGAATTAGCTTTTTTGACTTAAAATAAGTTGTTAGAATAAGAAACTGTTTGAAATAAGTTTAACTAAACAGTCCAAAATAACTTTTTAAAAGTCAAAAGCCATAAATTGACTTAAAAAAGCTCCACCAAATACCTATGTGTAGTGTAATTGCTTGATAGTAAATGAATGTATGATAGTTTTATTTAAAATATGTAAACAAAGTTATTTTTTAAGTCTAAGTGATTGGTTTTTCAATCGAATTTATCTCTTGAAATCGTATTCTACCATCATCAAATTTGATGAGTTATTAAGGAAAAAACAAAATAAGAACATGATATTAAAGACGTTGCTAGTTGACTTTATCCTACTTGTTGTTCTCTCATCTCATATGGCTTTTTTTTTTTTTTTTTTCCAAATGAAAGCATTTTGACCAGACTAATTAAAATCTACAATAGATATACAAAAACTCTCCAATTATGTTACGTAGCTCGAATCATTTCTTCCCTTAAATCCCTCGAACTCAAAACAACGCCGTTTCGTCGTTTTGAATTCTTTTTTTTTTTTTTTTCAATCAGAAAATCAGAAGAAGAAAGAAAGAAGAAGAGAAGAAGAAAGAAAGAAGAAGAAAGAGGCAGAGGCAGAGGCGACGGCGGGCAGAGGCGACGGCGGGCAGAGGTAGAGAAGCAGAGGCAGGGGGGATCGGCCGACGAGTTGCGATTGATCGGCGGAAGCGAAGGGGCCCTCTCTCTCTCTCCATTCCCTCTTCCCCTCCTCTTTCTCTTCTCCTCTCTTCTCTTCCTCTCTTCTCTTTCTCTTCTATCTATTTTTCAGGCTGTTCTCTCTTCTCTTTCTCTTCTATCTATTTTTCAGGCTGTTCGGGGAAAAAATTTCAAGGGAAAAATCATTTTCCAAAACTCTCTTACGGTGAGTTGAATAAAAAGTTATTCTTCTCATAATTTGTTGGGAAATGTTGAAGGCACAGTGCTTACTTGTGTAACTATCTAATAGGTAGGAAACATGTTTGTTTTGTTTAAAAAATATAATTATATTGATTGTATATATTTTTTGATTGGGTAAATAACAACACAGTAGTATTTAATAAAAATAATTACAAATAAATAATAAATATTAATAATTAAAATATAAAATTTTCCATAAAATTATAATAATTTTTAAAAGTTATCACTGAATGGTAAATTTTCATTTCACATTATGTATTTTATAAGCCAGACTTATTTGATAATTTTTAAATAAATTTTGTTATTTTATTTCACTTCCACATATACAATATCATGTACATAGAGGTAGGATTTATTGGTCTTGTTTGGTTTGTTTTTCAAGAAAAAATTTTGAAAATATTTTTCTACGAACAAATTTTCAAGAGTAATCAAATCAGACAAATTTTTTCAAAAAAATTTTCAAAATTTTGTTTGGCTACCTACTTTTCAAAATCACTCTCTCTCATACACATTAAATCAATTACTTTTTTTAAAACTCTCTCTCCAAAATAATTTTTCAAAATCATTTATGAAAAAAGACAAACCAAATAAATTTTCATACTTTTTATCTTAAAAACTACTCTACAAACACACACCAAGCTAGCACACCCATTATATTTAAAAATTTTATATACGCACCTTTATCTATGTATTTACTTTTATCTATTATGAATTTATACAGAATTGTGGGATTATAATTGAATTTGCTTAATATAAAGTACAAGTGTAGAATAAATATGAATTATAAAATTGATGATTCTAGTATTGCTAAACCATTGTCTTTGCAGTGTGCAGTTGATTTGATTGGGTGGGGAGAGGGGGCTGGGGCCTGGGGTTTACCTTTGGAGTGTGAGTGAACCAGACAAGACACATGGCTTGGGTCTTGATAGATACGACTCTATTGAAAGTTGCTTCTTGGTTTCCAAAATTTGGACAGAGGGGTAATTTAGGAAATTCATGTTTTTTTTTTTCGTTTTTTTTTTTTATGGGAAATTCATGGCTTTGAATTTAGAAAGCCTTTAAATACATACATTCATCATTATTGTTAATTATTATTTACATCCATTACTTGCATACCAAAATCTTTATACCTTAGAGAGAAATCTTTATATCTTATTATAATTGTCAATGCATATCATTTTGTTACTTTCTTTGTTTTTATTTTATTGATAAAAATGGAGAGACATAATTAAAAATTTAATTTCAAGCATCACTCATTTCTCTCATTTGAATACATCATGCTATGAAAGTATGATTCATAGTTGCTTTTCCAATACATGTTAAAAAGATAGGAGATTACCGTCAAGTAAATTTTACATTAAATGTAAAAATATTAATGTACTTGCAAAAGTAAAAATTTTAATATTTTAATACAACTAATTTATGACCGTAGTGGTTTTAGAGGCCTCTCCCACTCTACATCTATCATGTCCATGGGAAAGAAGCTTTATGGAAGAATTTTAACCTATACATTTTGATGTATGTTCGAAAGATAAATATAAAAATAAATAAATAACGAGGACCTTTTAAGCATTATTTAATATCAAGATTAAATAAAAAATTATCTTAAAAATAAGTAAAACAATATATTAAATTTAATAAAAAAATATTTTGAATTCAATAAAATCATCATATCCTAACACGTGCCATAAGAACATATTAATCAATTTTTTAATAACAAATGTCTTAGTGTTTTATTTTATTTTATTATTATGCCAAATATATCGTGTGTGTATATATAAGGAGTGTTTTTTTTCTTCTTCTTATGTGATACATTTTAAAAACTTACATTTTTTTCAAAAAAATACATCAACATGCCTTTTTCATTTTTATATAAGGTTATATACAAATTCAATTTCAATTATAACAACTAATTTTATATTGACTTTATTTGAGAAATACTTAATTGTCATATGTTTTTTATTATGTATTTATTTTTGGGTTTTTTTTTTAAGGTCTTTGGTATTAAGATTTTATAGTATAAAAGACATCTAATATTTTCATGATATCTAAGGTCCCTCAATCTGATCTAGAGAAATTTCATCCAGAGCCAGAGAAATTCTATCAAGACAAATTCTGAACCAGAGAAATTCTATCCAACTCAGATAAATTTTTCTGACTTTCCCTTCTTTCCAGAGAAATTTTCCTTCTCTGGCCTTTAGAGAAATTTCACACTCCAGAGAAGCCTTCCTGTCTCTCCAGAGAAATTTCTCCAAACCAGAGAAATTCCCCCTCTCCAAACCCAGAGAAATTCTCTCTTATAATCTTTTCTGGTTGAACAATCAATAACGATTTATCAAATAAGGAAAAGATTACGAAACCCTTACCTTGGCCAAGAGTGAACTTAAACGGTGTTCCCCTATCACAACTCGAATCGAACTAAGTACCATCAAGTAAAGTCCTAGTGTAATTTTCTCTAGTATGTTTAATTTTATTTGTCATGTGTAATTTTCTCTGGCGTGTATAATTGTCTTTGGCATGTTGTTTCTTTGTTTTCTTTGGCTAGTTGTGTGATTTTCTCTATCATGTGTAATTTTCTCTGCCAAGTTGCTTCTTTGATTTTCTCTGTCATGTTGCTTCTTTAATTTTCTCTGCCACGTTACTTTTTTGATTTTCTCTGTCATGTTGCTTCTTTAATTTCTCTACTAGGTTGCTTCCTTAATTTTCTCTGTCATGTTGCTTCTTTAATTTTCTCTACCAGGTTGCTTTTTCGATTTTCTCTGCCATGTTGCTTCTTTAATTTTCTCTGTCAAGTTACTTCTTTGATTTTCTCTGCCAGGTTGCTTCTTTAATTTTCTCTGCCTTGTTTCTTCTTTAATTTTCTCTGCTAGATTGCTTTTTTTATTTTCTCTACCATGCTGCTTCTTTTTTTTTTTTCTCTACCAGGTTACTTCTTTGCTGCTTCT